GTGACTTCTGTGGTCAATGAAATATAATTATAGAAAGATTTAATAAACTGATATAATAAACCATCTTGATAAAATGGCTTTAATATTGTCGACAGAGATCATGGCTTTTAGCCAAGGGCGTAGTAGGTGAGAAAAACAGGAAGCACAGTGATTCTGGTAGAAATGAGCCATACCTGTTCAGGTAACCCCCCCCCCCGTCCCCCCCCCCCGTCCCCCCCCGTCCCAATCAGTACTTACTTGAGTTTGTGTGTGTCTTCTATTTCTCTATGAAAGGTGGACTCCGTGCAGGCGGCAGCTGTGTTGTTATCTTCACGAAGAGTAGGAACGTGTTTAATCCCGTGTGTAGTTTCCTGTTCTCTATTTAACTCTCACTTCAGCAAAGTGTCATCCCTCAACTCCTCCCTGCTCTGCTCTCTGCATATCCTGCTCTTACATCAGATACAGTAGGGAAGGCATGTCATTACCTTTCATCTGCCATCGTTTTTTGTTTGAAAGTATACTGAAAAACAAAAACGGGTTCAGAAAATATTCAGCAACTCGTGGAGGACAATGGAATGGGGGATAAAGAGAAAGGAGGAGAGGGAAGTGTAATGAGATGGTGTGTATAGTAGGATGAAGTACAGCACAGTAGTTTGTTTTATTTTGTTTTATACAGGCCTCTACTATCGGCTGTGATATTCCCCAGAGAAGATAGGTCAGTTTTGGCATTTAGTGGATTTATTTAGTCTTTTAATGTTGTCTGGCTGTAAGCCAAAAAACAACAACAATTATTCAGTATACCCAATATTCCAACCCAGTACACCCCCATTATCTTACACAGCACATACATAACCAACACTATAATACATTATATTATTTACTCTCATCATTGCATGATAAAAATTATATCTACAAACTAATTGCACATAAGGTGTCCTAAATTACGACATTTCATTCAGTCTGTGTGATTGACAGGACAGATGACCAATGGGGCTGAGTTTGGACCCTCAGAATTATTACAAGGGTTGAAATACGGATAGAGTTTCTCAGTGAAGGTGTTGCCAGTGAAAGAGTAGATATGAGACCTGGCCTCCACATTGTAGAAGGAGATCTGACCCTCCTCATAATCCACAAACACCCCCACCTTCTGGAGCTTCTCTCTCAGGGAAATGGGGACACGAGTATAGTCGCAGGCCTCATACTTATTTTTACCTCTCATATACACAGTCCACAGTCCTCCCTCAGGGCTCTTAGTTGTAGATCCTTTTCTCTTGATGGACTCTTTGGCCACTCCAAAAACCCACTCAATCTTCCCCTTTACCTGCACCTCATAGTAGAATCCCCCTGAGGAGAAGCCCTCCTTTCCCAGAACAGAGTATAAAGAATCAAACCTCTTTGGGTTGTCAATGAGAAACTGTGGTCGTTGTTCATATCTCACTTGTTTCCCATCCTCAGACAGGATGAGACATTGATTTGCTGTATCAGGGTCTAGAGTCACATCCACTGCACACCTCTGCATCCTCATCATCTCAGCATCACACAACTTCTCCATCTCTTTGATAACTGTCTCCTCCAGCTGAGACAAAGTTCTCCTCATGATCCCTACACACAGCGCACTGTGAACACTGATCTCAGACCAGTCCTTGGTGTTGGTGGGGGGGCTCAGGAATAGGGAGCTTTGGAGGAGGTGAAGGTGATCCTCAGTGAGTGAGAGCTGCTTCAGCTCAGTGCGTCTCCTCTTTAGCTCAGTGATTTCCTGCTCCAGCTCTTTAATGAGCCTGTCAGCCCGCATCTCTGCTGCTTTCTGCTTCTCCTCAACCAATTCAATGAGCTCAGCCTGGCTTCTCTCAATGGAGCACACCAGATCAGTGAAGAGCTGCATGCTGTCCGCTATCTCTCTCTCCGTGTCTCTCTTGCTAAGCTCTACTGAGTTTTTGAACTTCTGAACCTTTTGCAGTCGCTCCTGGATCATCTGCTGCACTTGTGCCTCCATCTTCCCAAGCTGAGCCTTCCTTTCTCCACACTCTTCCTCTAGAGGGACGAGGTGGTGAGTCTTGTGGTCTGTCTCAGTGCAGAACTGACACACGCATGTCTGGTCAGTCCTACAGAACAGCTCCAGGAGTCTGTCGTGCTTCTTACACATCCTGTCTTCCAGGTTCTCCACAGGGTCGATCAGATTGTGTCTCTTCATGCCTGCAACTCTCTGATGAGGCTGCAGGTGAATTTCACAGAAAGAGGTCAGACACTCCATGCAGGACTTCAGGGCCTTGAGCTTCGTCCCAGTGCAGACGTCACAGGCCACTTCTCCAGACTCGGTAAGACTTTGGTTTGGGCTGCGGAGAGCTTCCACTTGAACTGACCTCCTGAACTGAGCAGCCATCTCAGAAATGAAGGTATTGACGTGAAGCTCAGGTCTCGTGAAGAACTTATGCTTACACATTGGACACTGGCACAGGTCAGTAGTATCCCAGTATCTGCTGATACAGACCTTGCAGAAGTTGTGTCCACATGGAGTGGAAATTGGCTCAGTGAACACATCCAGACAAATAGAGCACTGGAACTGATCTTCAGACAGGAAACTTCTAGGGGACGCCATTTCTGGAACACAACAACAGAGCAAACGCATCAAAAGACGTGCTAGAATGAGTCAGAATTTAGACAGTAAACTTTGTACTTCTGTGTTTTTTCTCACTCTCATAGTGACCTTGGTGTCTTCAGTTGAGTTCCCGCTCTCATAAGGTTTTGCTATCTCCCTATTAAGCATCCTCTCCATCTCTCTCTCTACTCACCTGAGTGTTTTTTTATTTCTCTACAAAAGGTAGACTTTCAGCTGTAGTGTTATTTCTGTGAGGAGCAGGAGAAAGTTTGTTTCTGTGTGCAGTTACCAGCTCTATATTTAACTTTCACTTCAGCAAAGTGACATCATTCAACTCCACCCTGCTCTGCTCTTAAAGGGACAGAGTTTATATTTTACATGCCTGTCTAAAGTCTCTTCTGATGTTTTTCCTCACATACTTTTGAAACAGATTCAGATTCTCAGAAACAGAGGTTAACATGTCAATTGCTTTAATCAGCCATTGGCGTTTAAAAAATAAAACCATGTTCTCTGTTACTGACAGGGTTATGGTTGAGCTTCTAGCATAACAGGCCCGTTTCCTGCATAGAGACTAAGCCTAGTCCTGGACTAAGAAGAACTTTCAATGGAGATTGAGCATGACTTCGAGTTCAGGACTAGGCTTGAAAACCGGCCTGAACAGGTTTAGTACTCTGTTTACAGAATGTAAAAAATGAAAGTCAGACACACCATTTAATCCTGTCTTTATTCTCACTCCAAGGTTCTCACCACCTCCTGCTTTTGCTATGCCTCCACGCTGTCTTTCTCTCCCAACACTAAAGATACTACAGTTTACTATAGAATACTACAGTACTTACTATAGAATTCTGTAGTAAACTGGAGTATACTGTAGAATACTATACTACACACTAGTATCCCTCGATCATGTGAAGTACTTAGCATAGAATTCTGTAGTATACTGTAGAATATTATAGTAAATACTACAGAAATGTCCGCAATAACACTACAGTCTGCAAAAACATATATATTTTTTAAACTATAGTAAATACTAGTGATGTTATGTTTGATACTAGTGATGTTACGTTTGATACCGGAGCTCCGAGGCATGCGTCAAAATCGCTAAGCAGTGTACTTCAAAGCAATGTTCCAATGCCTGTATCACTTTATCAGAAGCACGTGATCAATGATGTCCGAAGCATTCTTTCGTCAAACAACCACCTGATTGGTTTGGTATTGGTTTCATAAACTCAGTCCTTGGGTGCACGTTTTGTTTTTTGCCCTAACACTACACAGCTGATTCAAATGATCAAAGCTTGATGATTAGTTGATTATTGAATCAGCTGTGTAGTTCTAGGGCAAAAACCAAAACGTGCTCCCCTTGGGGTCCCGAGGACCGAGTTTGGGAAACCGTGCGCTATGGCGTGTGGGACGTCATCTAATTTAATAATTTGCTAAATTCTTGATCAAAGCCTTGAGTAATGAACCTATTTACGAAACAATTGTCTGGAAAGGCTCAATGCTTCAGGAAGCTTCATTTCCCCATCACTATTTGATACAGGAGCGCCAAGGAATGCGTCAAAATAGCTAAGCAGTTTACTTCAAAGCAGTGTGTCGATGCCTGTATCACTTTATCAGAACCACGTGATCAATGACATCCGAAGCTTCTTTTCGTCGAACAACTACCTGATTGGTTTGGTATTGGTTTGGTAGAAGACAAAAACACTACCCTGCGCAGGCGTTACGGTGTGTGGGACGTCATCTATAATAATTTGGCTGTTCTAAATTATTTTGACCAGCAGGTGCCACTAGTGTACACTGTGTTGATCAAAGCCTCAAGTAAATTATCTATTTTCAAACACAATTGGCTGGAAAGCCTCAATGCTTCAGGAAGCTTTGTTTCCCCATCACTAGTAAATACTACAGTATTTAATTTGCATTTACCCTGCCCTTTCCCCTCCCCAATATCCCAATTTCTGTGAGTGAGAAACCTACATACCAAGTATAGACCATATATTGTGTTCCCTAAAGGTTATAGAAAAGAGCAGTAAGTGTTAAACTCTCTGTTCAGAACCCAGTCCTACCTACAGGCTATGGAAAAGGTGCTCTTATAGTTTTTCTCCAGTAGGTTTTCTCAAGGAGAAAGCCCCCAACTTCTATGTCAAAGATAATAAATCACTTTAGTAATTACAACAGCTATGTCCCCAAAAACACTACAGTAAATATTACAGTATACCATACTACAGACCGCAAAAATAATACAGTAATTACTATAGTATATGCTTCTCTTTTTTACTACAGTATTTATACTATAGTAAACTGTAAATACTACAGTAAAGTCAGAGAAAACACTACAGTGAATACTATAGTATTCCTATCATAGTATACACTACAGTATTTTTTCATGTTGGTCCCTCTCCTTTTTTCTCTCTTCCTCTTCCAGATTGGAATGAGGTATGAGGGGTAGGGGGTACAGCCTCTGAAAAAAGTGTGTGTGTGTGTGTGTGTGTGTGTGTGTGTGTGTGTGTGTGTGTGTGTGTGTGTGCGTGCGTGCGCGTGCTCGCGCATGGCATGATTAGATGATGTTCAAGGACAGCCAAGCTGTGTGTGAGAGATAACACTGGTCCTGGCTATTGCAGCTCCTCTTTCTGTCCTGGCTATTAATCACAGGATGGGTGTGCGTTTGCATGTGGAGGTGTGTGCGCGTGTTTGGGTGCGTGCATGTATGTGTGTGTGGGGGGGGGGGCAGCATAATATTTGTGTCAGCAGCAGTTTTATTTAGCCTTTGTTGTTTATGCCTGCTCCACTAATTCCCCCTCTACAATATAGAGTGTACCCTCCTTAAGGACCCTCTGCTGTGTGTCCTCCTCCATTTTGAGTAAGAATGGGAGTGGGAGGTTAAGGGATTTTAACATGGATCAGTTGAGTAACTGTATGACAGAGGTCGCCTGCTGTGTCATCGGAGAGTGCATATTAATACAACTTGTAAATGCCTGTACATGAATATAGAAGAAGCAAGGCGATTTTCCATTTTGAATAAGGACTCTCCATCTCCCCCATCTCCCCCTCTCTCTCTCTCCAGGTCCACTGCCCTGCAGTGTTTACAGCTCTACTGTAACATTGTCCTTTCTCTCACCTTCCACAACTGTCTTTCTCTATCTCTCCTCCAGCTCCTTTCTCCAGTTCCGAGGGTTTTTCAAAGCTTGGTTACTAACATTATCCTCTCTCTTCCATTCTCTCTCTCTCTCTCTCTCTCTCTTTCTCTCTCTCTCCTCAGCCCCTCTCTCCTGTTTGGAGGGTTTTACAGAGCTGGGTTACTATAACGGCTCTGTGTCTCAGACGGACTCTGGCGCTCTCTGCCTGCGGTGGACAGAGTTTCCAGACTACGTGCTGCAGTACCCCGGTCGAGGCCTTGGGGAGCACAGCTATTGCCGTAACCCTGACAGAGAGTCCAACCCCTGGTGCTTCTTCAGACAGACCTCTGGGGCCATCGGCTGGGCCTACTGCGACTGCCACCAGGGTAGGTCTACAGCACATATGTGAAATAGGCATATTAAAAAAATGCAGAAGTTTGTACAGTGAGGGAAAAAAGTATTTGATCCCCTGCTGATTTTGTACCTTTGCCCACTGACAAAGAAATAATCAGTCTATAATTTTAATGGTAGGTTTATTTGAACAGTGAGAGACAGAATAACAACAAAACAATCCAGAAAAACACATGTCAAAAATGTTATAAATTGATTTGCATTTTAATGAGGGAAATAAGTATTTGACACCCTCTCAATCAGAAAGATTTCTGGCTTCCAGGTGTCTTTTATACAGGTAACGAGCTGAGATTAGGAGCACACTCTTAAAGGGAGTGCTCCTAATCTCAGTTTGTTACCTGTATAAAAGACACCTGTCCACAGAAGCAATCAATCAATCAGATTCCAAACTCTCCACCATGGCCAAGACCAAAGAGCTCTCCAAGGATGTTAGGGACAAGATTGTAGACCTACACAAGGCTGGAATGGGCTACAAGACCATCGCCAAGCAGCTTGGTGAGAAGGTGACAACAGTTGGTGCGATTATTCACAAATGGAAGAAACACAAAATAACTGTCAATCTCCCTCGGCCTGGGGCTCCATGCAAGATCTCACCTTGTGGAGTTGCAATGATCATGAGAACGGTGAGGAATCAGCCCAGAACTACACGGGAGGATCTTGTCAATGATATCAAGGCAGCTGGGACCATAGTCACCAAGAAAACAATTGGTAACACACTACGGCGTGAAGGACTGAAATCCTGCAGCGCCCGCAAGGTCCCCCTGCTCAAGAAAGCACATATACATGCCCGTCTGAAGTTTGCCAATGAACATCTGAATGATTCAGAGGAAAACTGGGTGAAAGTGTTGTGGTCAGATGACACCAAAATTGAGCTCTTTGGCATCAATTCAACTCACCGTATTTGGAGGAGGAGGAATGCTGCCTATGACCCCAAGAACACCATCCCCACCGTCAAACATGGAGGTGGAAACATTATTCCTTGGAAGTGTTTTTCTACTAAGGGGACAGGACAACTTCACCGCATCAAAAGGGACAATGGATGGGGCCATGTACCGTCAACTCTTGGGTGAGAACCTCCTTCCCTCAGCCAGGGCTTTGAAAATGGGTTGTGGATGGGTATTCCAGCATGACAATGACCCAAAACACACGGCCAAGGCAACAAAGGAGTGGCTCAAGAAGGGGTACATTAAGGTCCTGGAGTGGCCTAGCCAGTCTCCAGACCTTAATCCCATAGAAAATCTGTGGAGGGAGCTGAAGGTTTGAGTTGCCAAACGTCAGCCTCGAAACCTTAATGACTTGGAGAAGATCTGCAAAGAGGAGTGGGACAAAATCCCTCCTGAGATGTGTGCAAACCTGGTGGCCAACTACAAGAAACATCTGACCTCTGTGATTGCCAACAAGGGTTTTGCCACCAAGTACTAAGTCATGTTTTGCAGAGGGGTCAAATACTTATTTCCCTCATTCAATTGCAAATCAATTTATAACATTTTTGACATGCGTTTTTCTGGATTTTTTTGTTGTTATTCTGTCTCTCACTGTTCAAATAAATCTACCATTAAAATTATAGACTGATCATGTCTTTGTCAGTGGGCAAACGTACAAAATCAGCAGGGGATCAAATACTTTTTTTCCCTCACTGTATATGTATATATATGTACAAAACATTAAGAACACCTCCCTAATATTGAGTTGCAATCCCCTCCCTTTTGCCCTCAGAACAGCCTCAATTCGTCAGGGCATGGACTCTACAAGGTGTCAAAAGCGTTCCACAGGGATGCTGGCCCATATTGACTCCAATGCTTCCCACAGTTGTGTCAAGTTGGCTGGATGGCCTTTGGGTGGCTGACCATTCTTAATACACACGGGAAACTGTTGTCGTGAAAAACCCAGCAGCTTTGCAGTTCTTGACACACTCAATCCGGTGTGCCTGGCACCTAATACGATACCTTTTGTCTTGCCTATTCACCCTCTGAATGGCACACATACACAATCCATGTTTCAATTGTCTCAAGGCTTAAAAATCCTTCTTTAACGTGTCTCCTCCCCTTCATATACATAGATTGAAGTGGATTTAAAAAGTGACATCAATAAGGGATCATAGCTTTCACCTGGATTCACCTGGTCAGTCTATGTCATGGAAAGAGCAGGTGTTTTAATGTTTTGTACACTCAGTGTATATATACAGTGCATTCGGAAAGTATTCAGACCCCTTCACTTGTTCCACATTTTGTTACGTTATAGCCTTATTATAAAATGGATTAAATTACATTTTTCCTCATCAATTTATACACAATACCCCATAATGACAAAACAAAAACAGGATTGTGTCGAGGCACAGATCTGGGGAAGGGTACCTAAAAATGTCTGCAGCATTGAAGGTACCCAAGAACACTCAGACCATGAGAAACAAGATTCTCTGTTCTGATGAAACCAAGATTGAACTATTTGGCCTTAATGCCAAGCGTCACGTCTAGAGGAAACCAGGCACCGCTCATTACCTGGCCAATACTGTCCCTACGGTGAAGCATGGTGATGGCAGCATCATGCTGTGGAGATGTTTTTCAGAGGCAGGGACTGGGAGACTAGTCAGCAAAGTACAGAATGGAGCAAAGTACAGAGAGATCCTTGATGAAAATCTGCTCCAGAGTGCTCAGGACCTCAGACTGGGGTGAAGGTTCACCTTCCAACAGGACAATGACCCTAAGCACACAGCCAAGACAATGCAGGAGTGGTTTCGGGACAAGTCTCTCAATGTCCTTAAGTGGCCCAGCCAGAGTTCGGACTTGAACCCGATCAAACATCTCTGGAGAGACCTGAAAATAGCTGTGCAGCGACGCTCCCCATCCAACCTGACGGAGCTTGAGAAGCTCTGCAGAGAAAAATGGGAGAAAATCCCCAAATACAGATGTGCCAAGCTAGTAGCGTCATACCAAAAGACTCAAGGCTGTAATCGCTGCCAAAGGCCCTTCAACAAAGTACAGAGTTAAGGGTCAGAATTATGTAAATGTCATATTTCCCAAAAAATTTTTTTTTCTACATTGTGTGTAGTTGGATGAGGGGAAAAAAAACTATTTAATCCATTTTAGAATAAGGCTGTAACGTAACAAAATGTGGAAAAAGTGAAGGGGTCTGTATACTTTCCGAATGCACCGTATATGACAAATAGCAAATAACTTGTACATAATATTTGGATTTGATGAGATACCTGTCGTCTGAGTCTTTCTTCCGTCTCTCCCTCTCCTAGGTGCAGCTCGGCTGGTGGGCGGGACATCGTCAGGAAGTGGACGTGTGGAGGTGTACCTGAATGGCCAGTGGGGGGCAGTGTGTGACTCTCATTGGACATACAGAGATGCCAGTGTGATCTGCAGACAGCTGGGACTGGGGTGAGGGATATGTGTGGTAGGAGTGTGTATGTTTGAGTGCGCCTCCTCATCAAGATCAGCATTGTAGCATCGCAGCATTTCGGTTTCATCTGTAAGACTGTGTGTGTCCTCAGGGAGATCGGCACAGCGTTGCAGCGCTCCCGGTTCGGCTCAGGCTCTGGTCTCTTCCACTATGAGCGGCTGGGTTGCCGTGGTGATGAGAGCTCCATCAGCCAATGCCGGAGCAGGACATTTGTTACCGGGGATTGTAGCCATGGAAACGAGGCGGGAGTGGTGTGTGCTCCACCAGAAGGTCAGTAGAAAGCATCGGGAGCTAGAGAGAAGGAAAGAAAGTGTGCATATTGTTACCTCTTGACTCTACTTAGCATCCATATTGGGTCATTGTTTCCTCCCCCAGGCAGTGGTCCTCCTCTACGATTGGTTGGAGGAGAGGAAGACTTTGAGGGGCGTGTGGAGGTGTTTCACGGCAATAGGTGGGGCTCCGTCTGTGATGACCAATGGGACCACAGAGACGCAGAGGTGGTCTGTCGACAGCTGGGCTTCGGGTGAGTGTGTGTGTTTGTGTGCGCACGAGAGAGAGAGAGGAGACTCTGTAGTAGCATTTATACTCCGCTAGAGGAAGAGTCATTATTGTTGTTTTGCACATTGATGTACCCATGTGTTTCAGGGGCGTGGCGAAGGCCTGGTCGTGGGCCCACTTCGGACAGGGCTCAGGTCCCATTCAATTGGACGCCGTAAGGTGTACAGGAAATGAACTCTTCCTGGACCAGTGTCTTCATGGAGACTGGGAACAACACAACTGTGACCATATGGAAGATGCTGGGGTGTCCTGCAGCCCCTACACAGGTACACACACATATTTCAACCACGCATGCATGCACACAAACAAACACACATTCCAAAAACAGATATAACATGCACACATATGACTGTGTGTGTTCCAGACGGTGTGGTCCGGTTGGTAGGAGGAGACAGTCCATGGGAGGGTCGTGTGGAGGTGTTCCACTCTGGGGACTGGGGTACGGTGTGTGATGACCACTGGACTCAACAACACGCACAGGTGGTCTGTCGACAGCTCGGATACAGGTGTGTACCTTCTTTTGCAGACATGGCCACACTTGGAAGAGACAATAGTGCCAGTCTTGAATTTCGTTGTTGTTGATTGAATTTCGTTGTTGTTGATTGAATTTCGTTGTTGTTGATTCCTGTAACTAGGAAGTCTCCACTCTGTTTATGATTTTAAAGTAGACTCAGTGATATGACATCATCATAAATGTTGGAGCTTTATGGTAATCAACAACTACCAAATTGTACCTTTAAGTTGATGTAATTTCGTGGTCTACCTCTAGGGGGCATGCTGAGGTGATGGCTGACAGAACGTTTGGCAAGGGTTCTGGTCTCATCCTATTGGACGATGTTCGTTGTGAGGGAACGGAGTCGTCCCTGCTGGACTGTCGCCATGGCATCTGGGGCCGTAGCGACTGTTCCCATGGAGAGGACGTGGGCGTCCGTTGCAGGGCCGGAGCTAAAGAAGAAGATACCAATGAGGTCCCGGCTGTCACACTTGCCACAGGTAAGCCCTTTTTCCTGGGATTCAGTTTTTACTTTGAACAAGTATGTTTTCAAAGATATATGTGATGTGTATAATGTCTGTGTGTTGCAGGTCCCCTGGTGCGTCTGGTAGGGGGTGGTAGCCATAAGAAAGGTCGTGTGGAGGTGTATCTCCATGGAGACTGGGGAAGTATCTGTGACTCAGGCTGGAACGACCTGAACGCCGCCGTGGTCTGCAGACAGCTGGGCCACAGGTGAGTGTGTGTGTCTGTGTGCTTTAGTGTGCACATACCTTTGTGTGTTGAAGTAATAGTGTTTATTCAGTCTGTACAGCATTTTCAATGTTTATTTTCAATTATGTCCGTCTTTCATCCTCACACTTCCACCCTTTCTCCTCCTCCTCCCCCTCTCCCTCAGTGGTCATGCAGTAGCGGTGGATGGGTTCGGTTGGGGAAAGGGTCCTGTCCACCTGGACCAGGTGAGGTGTAGGGGGAAGGAGGACTTCCTGGGGGAGTGTCCGTCTCTGGGCCGGAGCCCTGCGGGCTGCAGACGGAGAGAGGATGCAGGGGTGAGCTGCGACTCCGCCCCCCAGTCAACAGAGGGCCAAGCCAGGCCAAGTGAGCGCACCTGTGGAGTGAGGAAGATTGTGGCGGAAAAGGAACGAGAGGAAGAGTGGAGTGGGAGGAGGAGGAGAGAATATACTCAGGTAAGAGAAGCTTTACCTACAGTTTAGATACACAGTACAGTATATCATACATGAGAACACATATACACATCTCCCCCTCTCCTCTAGGACGTCGTGGCCGTGGCAGGTGTCAGTGTGGTTGGGTTCTGAGGGGAAAGATGGCCATCCTATTTGCAGTGGTACTCTGATCTCTCCCTGCTGGGCGCTCGCCTCCGCTCACTGCTTCACCAGGTGAAGAGCACTTCTCCTTTTTATTTTCTCCGCTCTTTTCCTGACATTTGTAAACTCACTCGTTTTTGATGCTCACGTCTTCTTTTTCTGCCTGTGTTTCTCCCCATCCAATTTTTTTCTGTCCCCCTTTTCAAAATACTTACACCCCCTATCTATATCTCTCTCTCTCTCCCCCCCTCCATCCTCTAGGTTTGGTATTGACCCATCCCAGTACGTGGTGCGTGTGGGGGGTTCTGACCGAACTCTGACCCTGGAGAAAGTGGTGGTCCACAGGAAGTTCAGGTCAGATCAGGGCCCTGGGGGTCATGACCTGGCCCTGCTGAGGCTGCCCAGCCCCAAGGGTCACTGTTTGACTTTTGACCCCCACACCAATGCTGCCTGCCTCCCCACCCCGGACACTGCGGGTGGCAAGACCCCCTCCACCTGCATCGCTGCGGTTACCGCAGGCTGGGACGGCCCAGGTACGCCTCACCTTCCACTCCCTCAACTCTGATCTCTCAACTACAACCTCCGAGGACATTGATTTGTGGTTTAGCATCGCTGACACATTAGTAACTTATTTTCATTTTTTTCTCTCTCCTTCCTTCCTTCCTACTGTACATCCACTCTCCCCATTCTCTCACAATCGCTTCCTCATCCTCCAACCCCTCCCCTTGTCCCTTCACAGATGCTGTGCTTCAGTCCTGGGTACCCCTCCTGTCGTCATGGCAGTGTAAGAAGCGTTATGGGGATGGTTACTCCTCCCACGGCACGCTGTGCGCCGGCAGCCCCCCCGACACACGCCGTCTCCACAGGAACAACGGTTGCCAGGGCAACTGGGGTGGCGGGCTGGTGTGCCAGGGAGACGGGGGGCGATGGGTGTTGACCGGGATTGTCTCCGGGGGTTACGGTTGCAGCGACCCCTCAACCCCGGCGCTCTACACACGGGTTGGCCGGTTCCGGGGCTGGATTGAGGAGGTCACACACACACACACACACACGCAAGAGCGGGAGCAGGAGCGGAACACACACAGTCAGGAGCACGAGGAGCTCAAACACACACAGGATCAGCTCACACACACGGAGGAGCGGAGAATACTTGCATACGATTATGACGAGCTGCAACACACACACTCCCAAGAGCAGAGCACACACACTGATGATCAATTCATACACACACAGCACAACAATAAACATACACACGATCCCAATGAGCATAAACACACTCACACTCACAATCAGCACGCACATACACACACGCACGATAAACACACACACACCCACGAAGCAGTCACACACACACACAACCTGGTCTGATCCAGGACACTCCATTGGCTCACCGGCCGTGCCATGTGACTTTAAGAGGAAGAGGAGGAAGAATAGATGATAATGGAGGAAGAGGAGGGGGAGAAAGAGAAAAAGACAACAAGAGAAAAGGAGAGATCCTCCTCTTCCTCCTGATCCAGACGATGTAAACCATATTAATGTAAACTCTGGCTGATTATGATCATAATGTACTCAGACTGGGCAGACGTGTGTGTTACGCAAGCTGTGGGGTGTGTGCATGCACGTATGGGTGCCATATGTGTGTGTATCATTTGTGTGCGTAGGAGGGGAGATGGGATGCTGTATTGATAATGTGTAGCTAGACAACATGTTTTAGGTAGTCTTTTCTCTGACAGTGGGGTTGGCCTTTTTATTTATGGTCTTGTAATGCCCTATTTAAATGTGAAGTCCATCCAGACTGATCGGTTATTCCTTAACCAGTGTAAAAAAATAAAAATGCTGCTGTTCAAAAGCTGTTCTCGACTATCTAATACCACAGTTGTATTGCTGAAGATGCTATTTACTCTACCTTGGAAATGGACTGGACTTTCTCTTCTTTCAAATGTGAACAGGACAGCTCTTCTCTCTCGTTTCAAATAAACTGGACTTTCTTGGGGGCTCAAAGCCGGACTCTTTGGGGGACAGCAGTTAGCCTTGAAGTGCGGGCCAGTAACCTGAGCTTAATGGTTCCAGTTCCCAACTACCATTGTGCCCTTGAGCAAGACACTTTACTGCTTGAACAAATTGCTCCAGGGATTCTGCACTGTGGCATACGCTGTGCCTCTCAACCGCATTGCAACATCACAAAAAAAAGACAATAAAATTCTATGCTACTGTACTCTACTCTATTCCTATTGTACTATGTTCTTCTCTCTCTCGTCAAAGCCATAGAGCCAAGGGATGGATGGATGGATCATATTTTTTTTTTGTACTGATCTCCCTGAACTGTTCTAGTTGTTAACATTGTGTGTAAATAGTTCTGATTGTTTGTGTGTTTTCGTTAATTATTGTCTGATTTCGATTGGCCAAACAGTTAGACTTCCTGTAGTTGAATGTTCCTCTCTCTGTTCTCTGAGCGGATGTGTGTGATCTAACCAGTAGACGGCTATATTGTGGTATATTCAGAGCCGTAGTTTATCATACGCTTGAGGGAGAAGTTGTCCCTAACCACAGATCTAGGATCAGATTAGCCAACTCCAAACCTTAGCCATTAGGGAGGATACAAAAAGATATGACCCAGAGCCAGTGGTTAGGGGCAATATCTACCAACCCCACACAGTATATGGCCCTGATTGTTTTCTGTTTTTGTTTTTTACTGGATGGACTTGCTCAATCGTGTGCTGTGCCCTGGTGTTGTGTAGCATCTTGTATTCTATAACTAATTGTTTCTCTCAAACAGGAAATGCGCCTATGCCTCTTTTTTAAACCTCTACAGACTCCTTCCTATCCAGTAACATGATGTGGTATCTACTATATAATCATTTCATGAAACTCCTCCCTGAGACTTGACGTTTGAATAAAACACTGTCCAGAGAATCATACTAAGTCAATGTAAGTGTTTACATAGCTGGACATATTCCACCAAACCCGCATTGCATAATGTACACAGTGTGTGTCTGTGCACATAGGCAGCAGTAGTAAACACAGACACTACGTAAACAATGCTTTTGTGGGTTTGATTGAATCCCAGCCAGAGGGTTTATGTCTCTGTTTAAAGCTGTGAAGAGTCTGACTCAGTAGAAATGTAAAACTGTCTTACAGCCATCTGCGTGTTCCTCTGACTGGTCTGTCTCTGTACTGAAACATGGTGGACTATTAAAAGAGAACAGGTACTGTGTTGGTCTCTGTGGACTTTTCTTTATTAAAACGCTGCTTGATGGGTAGGTCCTGTGTTGAGCTGTATGTGGCTGTACTGGTCGAACAAGAGACCATGGGCCCTGTTTCCCAAATTCATTGTTAGAATCATAGGATCCTGATCTCAGTGTAAATATGAGATTGCTGCTCAGTTCAGGAAGTCAGTTTAAATGTAATTGAAAGCTCCCAGCAGCCCAGACCAAAGCCTTGCCAAGCCTGAAGAATTGTCCTGTGACATCTGCACTGGCACAAGGTGCAAGGCCCTGAAGTCCTACCTGGAGTGTCTGACCTCTTTCTGTGAGATGCACCTGCAGCCTCATCAGAGAGTTGCAGGCATGAAGAGACACAAGCTGATCGACCCTGTGGAGAACCTGGAAGACATGATGTGTATGAACCATGACAGACTCCTGGAGCTGTTCTGTAGGACCGACCAGACGTGTGTGTGTCAGTTCTGCACTGAGAAAGACCACAAGACTCACCACACTGTCCCTCTACAGGAAGAGTTTGGAGAGAGGAAAGCTGAACTGGGGAAGACGAAGGCACAAGTACAGCAGATGATCCAGGAGCGACTGCAGATTATTCAGGAGATTAAACATTCAATAGAGCTCAGCAAGAAAGACGCAGAGAGAGAGAGATGACAGACAGCATGCAGGTCTTCACTGATCTGATGCACTCTACTGAGAGAAGCCAGGCCAAACTCATTGTGGTTGAGGAGAAGCAGAAAGCAGCAGATAAGCGGACTGAGGGGCTTATTAAAGAGCTGGAGCATGAAGCCACTGAGTTACAGAGGAGAAGCACTGAGCTGAAGCAGCTCTCACACACTGAGGACCACCTCCACCTCATCCAAAGTTCCCCATCCCTGTGTAAACCAAATCAAACTTTATTTGTCACATGCGCCGAATACAACAGGTATAGACCATACTAAAGTAAAAAATAAATAAAAAGTAACACAATAAAATAACGAGGCTATATACAGGGGGTACCGGTACAGAGTCAATGTGCGGGGGTACAGGTTAGTCAAGGTAATTTGTACATGTAGCAGGAATAAAGTTACTATGCATAGATAATAGACAGCGGTTAGCAGCAGTGTAAAAACAAGTAGCTGTTAAGGAGCCTTTTGGTCCTCGACTTGGCGCTCCGGTACCGCTTACCGTGCGGTAGCAGAGAGAACAGTCTATGACTTGGGTGACTGGAGTCTTTGACAATCTTTTGGGCTTTCCTCTGACACCACCTAGTATATAGGTCCTGGATGGCAGGAAGCTTGGCCCCAGTGATGTACTGGGCTGTACGCACTACCCTCTGTAGCGCTTTATGGTCAGATGCCGAGCAGTTGCCATACCAGGCGGTGATGCAACCGGTCAGGATGCTCTCGATGGTGCAGCTGTATAACTTTTTGAGGATCTTGGGACCCATGCCAAATCTTTTCAATCTCTTTAGGGGGAAAATGTGTTGTCGTGCCCTCTTCACGACTGTCTTGGTGTGTTTGGACCATGATAGTTTGTTGGACACCAAGGAACTTGAAACCCTCGACCCGCTCCACTACAGCCCTGTCGATGTTAATGGGGGCCTGTTCGGCCCGCCTTTTCCTGTAGTTCACGATCAGCTCCTTTGTCTTGCTCACATTGAGAAAAATGTAGCAGCAACATTATGTACACAATAAGTTACAAAATAAGTTACAAACAACGCAAAAAAACTAACAACATAGCACAGTTGGTTAGGAGCCTGTACCCCTCCAAACAACAAGGACTGGTCTGAGATCAGTATTCACAGTGAGCTGTGTGGTGAATGTGAGGAGTGTTTTGAGGAGCTCTGTGTCTGAGCTGGAGGAGACTCTGGACCATGATACAGCAAATACCTGGCTCATCCTATCCAGTGGTGATTTTAGCATGTAAATCTTGGTGGGGCAAACTCCCCAAAAAAGTTTGGGATGCATGCCAGCAAAGCCACTACACAACACTAAACAATACATGAATTGCATTAGAACGGTGTCAAACAGTGCCCACAAACTGCTTTCTTTTCAGCACCATGGAGTGAATCCTTACCACTGCTACACCTGGCGATCAGCGGAGTCTTGTCTAGCAGTGAAACAGTTCACTCAGCATTGTCACGACTTCCGCCGAGGCTGCCGCCCCTCCTTGTTCGGGCAGGTTTCGGCGTTCGTCGTCACCGGCTTACTAGCTGCTGCCGAACCATTTATCATCACTCCACTTGTCTTGTCTAATTAATCACACACACCTGGTCCTTATCCCCAATTAGTCATTGTATAAGTGTTCCCTCTACTTCCTTATCTGTGTGGGTGATTGTTTGTTGTGAGCTACCCTTACCTTGTTGTTGCCAGGGTAGTATTTTCCCCTGTGCCTGAGTGTTGTTGTCGCATGCTTGCGCAACTGTTTGACAGAATAAACTCTTTTGGATGCGCATTAATCTCCTGCACCTGACTCCTTCTACCACACGCATCACAAGCATAATTTACTGCCTTTAAAAAAAACATAGCTGATATGGATGACTTGCTTAAACAAATGTGGTTTCTACTGACAATTGAGATGTACAAACTATGGCGTAAGGGGACGACGAGCGGATAAGAAGCAATCCGTAATTTTGATTAAGACATTCATGAGCAAGCTAGGACGGACGTAGTCAATATAACTATTTGTTCAGCACTTCTGAAATGTACAGCAACAGAATTCAGAACATGGGCCATTCCTACAGTATTCTCCCTGTACACAAAGTCAGAACCGTAGGATAAATAAAGGGGGCATTTAGCAGAAAATTACATTTACATTTGAGATTTTAGTCATTTAGCAGATGCTCTTATCCAGAGCAACTTACAGTTAGTGAGTGCATACATATATATATATATATATATTTATTATTTTTTTCATACTGAATAAATGACAATGAAAGCTCTTACCATTTTCGATGATGAAATTTCTCTAAAACAGGCTATAGGCTGTGCACCACCAAATCAGAACAGTAGGCTAAGTTAGGAGGGGGAAAGGGACCAAATTATTAGGGTGAGGCACATGGGCTACTAACAGCTTACTACACAACATACACTTAGCATTACTTTCTTAGCTACAGTATACAGTGGGGGAAAAAAAGTATTTAGTCAGCCACCAATTGTGCAAGTTCTCCCA